GTGTATTATGTTTTTATTGACATGCTAAATCGTCAGTGCTCTTAACAACAGTTATTAGCTGAATACATTAATGAATGACAATTGACATTGAACATTAATAAATACATAAAGAAGTAAAACACAAAATAAGAACAAAAAAAATAGATGTGATGAAGACCAATCAATATCCAATCAATATGATGCCTTAAAGTCCATCATTTTGGTGTGATTTAAGTAGCGATTTTTACGGTGGCCGAGAGAGCTCAACGCGCTGCAACTTAAGAAAACACATGCAAATTGAAAAAACACCCGCAAATCTTCATCAGTTTGACAACTGCTGATCCTCACAGCACATGCATATGGAAGGCCAGAAGGGCCAAATACACGTGAATTTTAACGCATCAACAACGCGTTAAACACGTGTATTCAACGTGTTAAATACGCGTGAAGTACGCGTTAAAAATCTGTTTGAACGGGTCAGTGTCATTGGCTGCTGAGGACTTGGGTCAAAAAGTAATCAAAAGTTACAGCATTTGGAACCAAGGTAGCCCTTATCTTAGACCTTTACAATTTTGAAATTGTTGTTTTGAATTTGAAGTAATGCCTCACTCAAGTTTAGTCAAAGCCCCAAATATTATATAATTATACATGTTTTATTCCACTCGATGAGACCTTTCAAATGGCATATGACACATGACTATCTGAGCTGTATGATGTTTCTGACATATTAGAGTACATGGAACAAAAACATTTTTCATAAATTATGAAAACATTTTTTTCTATTTATCCGCAAATAACTCAGCATTACCTAGGAGTTAATCAAAGTGGCCACATGCATTGTAAAGGTCAGACTCCAAGCTTTCAAATGAGACCTATTTTGTGTTTTGAAAAATATGCTTACTATTTTTTTCTTCGCTAGGGTCCACCCGTCGGCAGTACACTCCGGTTTAGAGGAACAGGCAGCACTGGTTAGGAGTTGATCAAAATGGTTGGATGCATTCGAAAGCTGAATGTCTAAGCTTTAAAATGATACCTAATTATAAAAAAAAAAAAAAGGTTATATAAAAGATAAAATAGACAGAAACATTACAGGTTTGACATTCTGCTTGCCAAGTGTTCAACAGAGCTCTCCAACTGATTTCTTCAATTCATGGGTTTAGGTATTATTTACACACGAAAGACGCAATGGATTGTTTTGATTTTGGACTCATTGCAATCGTGAGAATCTGCTGTAAATAATGATATGCCATTCCCCACAATCGGAGCATGTTTCATGAAATGATAAGCGTAAAAAACCATGAGAACATTGCAGCATGTGCGCATTTGGAGTTTTATGTGTTATAATTCGATGAAGAATATCTTTAGATCTAAATAACAAAATGTGCATGATCTATGCATAACAAGTAATAATAGCAAAAAAGGGAATAGAATATATAGCAAAAACTATAAATAGTAGCAGCAGTAAATCCTTTTTGATATACAATTATTTGTGAATTAAAGTATGCTGAAGTGTTGCTAGTATGTGCTACATGTGCATTTGTGTGTGAGTGTGATTCTCTCACTCTCTCTCTCTCTCTCTCTCTCTCTCTCTCTCGCTGTGTGTGTGACACAGGCACAGGTTCCTCCTATCCTAAAAGTTAATTAATAGTTATTTAGAGCCACATTATTAAGAAACTGGCAGCATCTGTATCAGGGTGTGTCTCTCTCATTGTGTCTTCCTACCTCCATGACACAGCCTCTGCAGTCCACCCTACCTAAGGATTAATTGCATACTGTTGTAGCGAATCAGGGGAAATATGAATAATTAATCATAACTGGTTATATTTAATTATAAATATTTAGATCCACTGACCTCTCAGGGTCAACTGTCTGTCAATTCTAAGAACGTTAATTGCTACACTGTAAACTTATGTACTGTATGTGTGCTCAATGTTTTATTTTAATATATGACTATCTACATATTCAAGGTAAAGTTCACTATAAATGTCTATAGTACTATGGCTATTGCAATAGGTTTTTGATGTGTTAGACTACATTGCAAGTAGCCTACATCAGTTTTTACCCTAAATCCCACTTTATCTGCTGATATTTCAGTCATGCAATTCAGTAACAGGCTCATTAACATTTAAGTTAACCAATTATCACTAAGCAATGACATTTTAAAATATACTGGGGTTCTACGCTAAGCTTACAACTGTTTAATACAATGTAGGCTACTGTCAAAAAAAAAAAACACAGGAGCTAACTGGCAGAAGTAGTGGGAAAATGACTAGCTGTATTTTCTGTTTTCCTTTCTCTTTGGCGTGTTACAAGCTGATTGTGCATAGATAAGATCCCTAAGAAGTCTAAAAAGAGTTTGGTTAATTTTACGCATTTAGCAGCGTCGGACCTAAGCCCTTTTTTAGGCCATTGCCGAATGGGTCAAATGCTTAACATTTATTTATTATTAACATTATTATTACTATAACCATAGAGAAATTGTGCAAGCGATAAAAACCCGTCCTATGCGCTGTTTGCCTGTAAAACCAATTTTATTTATATATATTTAGAAATAATCTGACTGGCCCATATTAAACAAAATGGTCTGGCCCCTCTGGCATTTGCCAGAATTGCCAGATGGCCAATCCGCCCCTGGTTGTGGGCATTCTTGGCAGTTTGAGGCTTTTTAAAATATCATTCCTATCGATATCAGAATTATGGAACTAGACAAAAACAAGGAGATACACAGACTCTACAAACTATCCATGCAGCATTTAGGCAGACGTTTCCAACTGATTCAAACAGGGCAAAACAAATCACCTTAACAAATCATGATTAAAAATTTTTATAAATCAAGGAAATTTCTCTCGCATTTCTTTCTTTTTGTTGTATTGAAAACGTACCAAACTGTGACACCACTGCATCGTATCGAAACAAACCGTAAATTTTGTGAACCATTACACCCCTAGCACTGAATATTACACAGTGCTGAAAAGAGTTACACAAAATGGAAGTGCAGATTATTAAAGTAACACTTCCGTAATCATATCAGTATCTATATCATCTATCTTCCAGCTTGGTGCATCATTCAGCGAGCAGGGTGACGCAGAGAACCAGGATTTCTCAGAGTCAAGACCCGACACACCATCAGCAGATAGCACATCATGCATTGCCACCTTCCTTGAATTGTTAAATGAAGGAGCCTTGAGGTCAGCTCTCGAGGAAACTGCTTTGAATGCCTCAACTGATAGCAGTAAGGCACAAAAGGTTTTGTGCACCAGGGAAGATAAACTCAAGAGGATGTCAGAAACTGATATAGAGCTGCAGGAGCTTGAAGTCTTGAAGAAGATGCAGATTCAACTCCAGATGCATTAACTGCATTTGGGAACCAGGTTGTATTGGAAATTAGGCTAATTCAAAACCCTGGATACTTAGCAAGATTGAAAAAGAGCATAATCATTATGATCTATGACACTCAGGAGACTGAAACAAACAGATATTTATCTTCACATGCACAACCCACACCATCCACATTTCAACCCGTCATTTCAGCTCCAACACCGGCACAGTCTCATCCTCATTACACATCGGCTCAGAGTCCTCATAAAACCTTTTTGCAGACAATGCAAAATCATGACCACTATGAAAGCTTGTGAATAGCTTACATTGTTACAGTATTTATGTTTAGATATTTATATGTAAATAGTTTTTTTGATATTTCCATTTCTGCACCGTTGCGCTTGTAAACACATTTAAACACACAGTACCAGTGGCTACGTTTACACTGTCAGTTCCCTTTCAGTCGGTCACTTTCGACGTCACATCGATGACCGATGAATTGGAAATCTCACCAGAGAGACCAATCTACTTTGAGTGTAAACTAAACGGGCCAATGCACATTGGCATGCAATGATTGCAAGCAGCTGCTGCTGATCGCAGCACGAGTATAAATAGGCAGCAGGTGCAACACATACTCAGGTTTTTGCTTTGGAGCCGAGCGGTTTCATCGTTCTGTTCCTGCCAAGCTTTACTGAACAAGTTCGACACACTCAAGGGAGCTTTTTCGTGCTGAAGGAATGGCGCTACAATGGTGGTCATTTCCCGTGTCGAGTGGGTTGCACGCATCAGGCTGCACTACCACCGGTTTGTGTTGCAGGCAGCCATCTCTCCCCTGTACGCTTCAGCACACTGAAAGAGTAATTTCCCTAAAAGAGCATTCACGGTTCGCACGTCTTTTTAAAGATGTCATTCCACCCGTGCGTTTCTGGGCGCGGTCGTTACCTGGCGCCGGGTGATGGTCACGATCGCTACCTCACGTGCCTGGGCATTAAGCACGCTGAGGTTGCGTTCGTGGATTAGTCATGTTCTCATTGTGGGAAGATGACCATCTCAGAGTTGCGGGCCAGGCTCCATTACCTGAAAAGGGGTGGAGTTCTGGTGCCTCTGCCTTGATCTAGTTCTCTTCCCGGCAGAAGTCAGGGGAGGACTACTTCAGCCAGTAGCTCGGGCGGTCTTCTTTTTCGGCCGCGCTGCCGCCCTCTGGGACGGTAGTAAAGCCTGAATCGGATCCAAAGATGATGGCTATGCTTCCCTGGGCCGCCGAGAGGGTAGGGCTCGTGTGGATATTTCCACCGCGTCCCGAGCCCTCAAGGTTGGATGACTGGTTTCTTGGGGTGGCCCGTGCTAGTTCTCAGCGCCCCACTCCGGTGCCATTTTTCTCTGAGGTGCATGATCCAGACAGCAAGCAGATATCTGGCCTGCATGGATTTCACACGGGCTAGATGTGGACCGGATCTGGGCCAAAATTATGTTGCTGTCTGGGGAGGAGCTTACCAGATTGTGGACGACACATTTTACTGCCAGAAACCGAAATGCTAGCTCCTCCTCCCTCACCACCCTTGACGGTGGTGCAGCTAAGGGGTATGGAGAGTAGTGGACGGGACATTCCTGTATCACACTCATCCTCCTCTGTCACCAGCGGGCAGCAGGGGGTGGTCTGAGAGCACTATCAACGGCTCTATTCACGCACCCTCTGCCCAACCATGGAAGCAGGTAAGTGTTGCACCGGACACTCAGACCCTACTTCGGTCTGCCTGTGAGCTGCCCGAGCTGGGTCCCTGTGCTCCACCTCGCTGCCCCACTCAGGTACGTCAGTGGTTCTGCTGGTCCCACTTGCACGGTATCTGGAAGCCTGGCTAGCACTGCCCAGCCCGTCTCGCTGGCTCCTTCTGACCATCAGACTTGGCTATGTGATTCAGTTCGCCCCGCGTCCCCTCAAGTTCAGGGGCATCCACTTCACATCAGTGAAGACGGGGTTTTACAGCCCCTACTTCATTGTACCCAAGAAAGGAGGTGGGTTACGACCAATCTTGGACTTGTGTGTCTTGAACCGTGCCCTTCACAGGCTACGGTTCAAGATGTTGACGCAGAAACGCATCTTTGGCTGCATCTGTCCCCGAGATTGGTTTGCAGCGATCGACCTGAAGGACACGTACTTTCATGTCTCAACCCTTCCACACCATAGACCCTTTCTGCGGTTCACGTTCGAAGAACAAGTATATCAGTACAAGGTATTGCCCTTCGGGCTGTCCCTGTCCCTGAGTCTTCATGAAAGTTGCGGAGGCGGCTCTTCTTCCCCTGAGAGAGCAGGGTATTCGAATCCTCAACTCTCAATCTCGATGACTAGCTCATCATACTAGCACAGTCTCGGGATCAGTTGTGCGAGCATACTCTAGGCAATTGACTAGGGAACGCTCAGCTCGGACGCAGTAGCACACAGGGGCCTGCACAAGTATGCGTTTCCCCCAGTGAGCCTTCTCGCACAGACACTGTGCGAGATCAGGGAGGATGAGGAGCAGGTCCTGCTTGTGGCACCTTACTGGCCCAATCGGACCTGGTTCCTGGAACTAGCGCTCCTCGTGACAGCCCCTCTCTGCCAGATTCCTCTGAGGAAGGGTCTACTGACTCAGAGACGGGGCACCCTGTGGCACCCACGTCCAGACCTCTGGAAACTTCATGTCTGGTTCCTGGATGGGATGCGGAGGTTCTAGGTGACCTACCCCAAGAGGTAGCAGACATCATCACTTTGGTGCGGGCAACGTCTACGAGACACGCTTACGCATTGAAGTGGAAGCTGTTCGTCGAGTGGTGTTCTTTTCACCGAGAAGACCCCCGGACATGCACAACCTGGTCATCAGGGTAATTATGGGTGCGAGAAGGTTGAATCCTCCTCGACCTCCCTCTATGCCCTCTTGGGACCTGACTCTGGTGTTCAGAGCACTACAGTGGGTCCCATTTGAGCCTCTGCAGTCAGTCAAGCTAAAGTTTCTTTCAATGAAGACTCTGCTCCTGGTTGCATTTGGCCTCCATCAAGAGGTTAGGGGATCTGCATGGCTCGGCCCCTCAGCAAAAATCTGAGTATGCGTTGCACCGGCTGCCTATTTACAGTATACTCACGCCGTGATCAGCGGCAGCTGAATACAATCATTGCATGCCAATGTGCATTGGCTCGTTTAGTTTACACTCAAAGTCGATTGGTCTCTCTGGCGAGATTTGCAATTCATCGGTCATCGATGTGACGTCCCCATTCTTTCCTTCAGGGAACGAAGGTTACATACATAACCGAGAAGTTTTTTGGGATTGACAACCTCAATTACTTACAGGTGTGAGTCTCGAAATGTCCCATTCACACAGCATCTTACAGTAGCGTCTCGAATATTGTCTGTAACGTGCAATGGATTCCTTACCAGTAACCATAGCAACAATGACCAAAGTAATATCCAAGATGGTGATGTCCGTTAAATTGAAAGTGTTATCACTTTCTGACCTGACAAGAGTCTAATCAAGCCGCAAGTTCATCCGACATATCTTCATTAACCGACAGCAGCTTTTATAATTTTGGTGGAGAACAGAGCAATTTGAGTCACGCACACAACACAAAACTGACAGGAGTGGCTCCGGTGGAGAAAAACTGACTGGATCTAAAACTTTCAGATAACACACAGTTAATTTCTCTGTCACTGTAAGCTATTGAAACCACACATGAAAACACGCAAAACACATTAGACACGCGTTTGCGCAGCGGAGTGTCTCTCTCTCTCTCTCTCACACTGTGACAGACAGCTAGTTGTCCTATCCAGTTCCATTTACACAGCGCGTGTTTTCAGAGAATGCAGTTGTGAGTCCTGAGAATTTACAGGTGTGAGTTCAGTTACAGAATGCGGTTGTCACGCCTTCAAATAACCATAATGTGTGTGAACATAACCGTATTAAGGACTCAAATACATTACTGACAGTATTCTGCTGCTGTGTGAATGTGGCCAATCAAAAGTTTGGACACACACTTTCCTATTATCTTGGATGTGTGTGTCCAAAACATAGACTGTATAAAAACATGGACATAGTGTCTGTGACATCACCTGTATGTTTCTGAAGATTATTTCTGAAGCCCAGAGTGGGCAGTGTCGGCTGTCGCCAACAATTGAAAATGGGCAAAGAGGCGGGACCTGGGTGGAGTTGGTTGCTGAAACCATGCATGCCTAGTTCAACGGTAGTGACAGCAGCGGCAATCCACCTATCTCTCAAGTGACCACGCCCTTAATTATGTCGAATTTTAAGGCTTAATATGATTTAAACGATTGGGTTATAAAAAAAATCATTTACCCCCCTCACAGTTGTCATGAAGGGCAAAATTAGCTATATAGACCAAAACCCCCTTTTTGTACCAGGCTGTAAACATACTTTTTTTCTGCTGTAAAGTTGGACATTTTAACATCGGGGAGCTATGGGATTGACTCCCTTTTGGAGCCATGAATTGCAGTTTAAGTCACTTCCATGTTGGTTTCAAGAGAGAGACCGGAAGTTTGCCACTTGGTCCAAACTTTTGATTGGTACTGTATTTAACTGTTATTAAAGACTATATTGACATTGCAGTGTTAAGTAGAAACACTGGTTGGGTTTTGCACAATAATGTGCAGGTGTTTTACTGCTATACAGTTTTTTTTTCCAACAAATTTTTAAAACCCAAATTACAAAACAGGCTGTCTAATAAATTTTGAAAGCCATTTCATCGCAAGTGCGATAGAGTCTTGAGAGCCGGTGAATTGCTCATAAATGGTTACAGTATTTGTTTAGATTTCTGTACAACATAGAGATTGTTTGTTGTATTATTTCCATTTCTGCACTGTTGCCTTTGTAAACACATTTGCATATGCGTAACTGCTATTAAAGGTTAAGTTGATATTGCAGTGTTAAGCAGAAGAACTGGTTGGGTTTTGCATATTAATAATATACAGTACTGTATTTTTTCAATAAACATTTAAAACCACTTTTTCACATTTACAATAACAGCCTATATGTAAATTTTTACAAGCCTTTATATAACAAGTGTGATATTGTATTGAAAGCCTGTCAGTAGATTCAATCATTACAGTATTTGATTACATTTTCGTAGATGCAGATTGTTTTTTATTCTTTCCATTCCTGCACTGTTGGTCTTGTAAACACATTTGAAAAAAAAAACACAGGTAATGTGAAAAATATATACTGTTAAAGGGGTCATATGATGTTGTTAAAAAGAACATTATTTGGTGTATTTGGTGTAATGCAATGTCTTTATGTGGTTTAAGGTTAAAAAAACATTATTTTCCACATAATGTACATTATTGTTTCTCCTCTATGCCCCGCCTTTCTGAAACGCGTCGATTTTTACAAAGCTCATCGTTCTGAAAAGTGAGGTATACACTTATTGGCCAGCTATCCAGTGCGCCGTGATTGGCCGAATACCTCAAGCGTGTGACGGAAATGTTACGCACCTTACCATACTGTGTTTCCGTGTGTCCTGGCGCGACGAGACAAAACCAATAAAACCCATTACAAACGAGGCATTTGTTGTATCCAGTGGGGACATAATTACTGACTATAATGACGTATACTGTGTTTTTACACGTTGCGCATTGCGCAGCGTAAACATAAAACCATGTCTGCATTTGTGAACGGAGAAATGACAAACAACAAGCTCTACTCTACACTGCTTAAAACTCGTGTTTGAATCATCAGTGGCAAAATGTTTTAATATAAAAAACTGTGAAGTCAGAGTCAGAAGCGCCAGACTGTCCTTGCAAAGTTGGAACTGCCCCACTTTATAGAAACATTATGTCCTATTTTGGAAGGCCAAACAAAGTAGTTTCGCTTTCACGAAACACAGTGGCTTGAGTGAGTGGCGCCCAGCGGTAAAAGTCTTAACTTTTATAAAGAATATCTCTTTGGATTTGAGACGTTAGTCTTTGCAACTTTACAGATCTTCTTTATGCACCAAGAGCTTGTAACACTCCAAAGAGAAATGAAAAATTTAAATCACATCATATGACCCCTTTAATATACTTGTTCAAGTGTGATACAGTGTCTTCTACATCACAGTATCTTGAAACTTTACAAGACATTAAGGACTGAAGGTGTAAAATCAATGACAGATCAATAACTGAACCACATCAATGCTCTTTATTGATAAAGAACTTTTAACAACAAAAGGCAATGCAGCACACACACACACAAAACAAAAATAATGTATTTACAGACAAAAACGTGGAATTCTTCAACATCTATACTTTTATAAATGTACTGCTCCTGCCAAGAAATGCTGCCTGCTGGTGGGACAAAATAGTCCCGCGGAAGATGTTGCATTTTTGCTGTTACTGTTGCGTTGCACTCTCTTCTATGCTCTGCCGGCTGAAAAGTCCCATGATTCCTCCAGACTCCAGCAACGATGTTGTGGTCAGAATTCTTCCAGTCTGCAAAGGCTCAAGGTGTATATGCCTCAGACCTGTGCTCGCAGAGGAAGTTGTGGATGCACAGAGAGGCCATTGTTATCTTTATGACCTTTAAAATAAATAAAAATAATATTTTCAAGGTAATTCTACTGTATACTGTAGATATCCAGAATGTATATGGGTCAAAGACAGACGCTCTGGTATTGCCAGTGTAACAGAGTGAAAAGGTATGTTAAATTATTGCATAAATGGGGACAGCACCATCTATGTGGTGCGTGATGTGATTTAGCGTGTGGAGTAGGAACCACCCACAGCAGAGTTAACAAAGCAATGCTGTGGAAGGCAGACCACCCGGGCAAGACTGTCACATTTGTGCCGTGAAGTTGTGATGCCGCTGTGTTGCCATAGGTCGCATCTTCAAGCAAGCTGAGAGAGATCACTGTGTTGCCGCTTAAGGACTGGAAACATCCATCATCAGTTGAACAGTTCATCATCAGTTCACAGCCTTTCATGATCAAGGGACTCACTCCCGTTATCCTTTTTCGGCCTATCAGATTTTTTTGCTCTGATCATTGATATTGAATCAATCTTTGTATGTGTATATACTCTTGTTACACACTTTGTTGCCCATAATGAGTAACGGTAATAGATATTTACCTGACCAATTTACTCCTGGTCCAGTAGGGAGAGGCAGAGGGGTTTTAGGTTTTCCAATTCCCTTTTCAATTAACAGTCCCAGTGCTGACGATAGTGATAGTAGGCCTGGCAACGCAAGAAGGGTTTGTCCTCTAAGAGAGTATGATGCAGCAGACATTCAGTCAGATGTCAATCACAGAGTAGCATGCACATCTACACCCAACAATGATAGCATGCCTGATATGTTAGAGCAGATGAGTTCAATTGTCCATCAAATTGGCCAACAATTAGCAGAGAACATTATGTATCATCTCAGTTCCTATAGCTTGGACACTGACAAAAAAAAAAACTAAGTAAAAAAAACAAAAAAAAAACAAGTTACCAACCAACAGGAAAGGCTTCCTGAAAGTGGATGAAAACAAAACAGAGCTTTTTCACTTTCTAACCAGGAACCTTGTGGAAATGTCAACTACCAAACGAGTTGTTTCCACTTGCGGACCCAATTTTCTATCATCTCACCCACAAGTATCAGATCTGTCTTCCCCTTGCATGACTATAAGGATGTTACTCCGTGTGGCAATGCTACAAGTAAAGGATTTAAAAAGATCACCCTGTGCACTGTGGACACAGATGTTGTGGTCCTAGCCATTGCACATGTGTCAGAGCTGGACATTGAGGAGCTGTGGGTGGCATTTGGGACTGGCAAGAACTTCAGATACATACCTGCCAATGAGAATACCAAGTCTCCTGACAAATCAAAGGCCCTTCCTGTGTTCCATGCCTTCACTGGCTGTGACACAGTATCTGCATTTACAACCAGGAGCAAGAAGACTGCATGGGATACCTGGAATGCATATGACATGGCAACAGAGGTCTTCATGGCTCTGTTAAAGGCTCCAAAAAGCATTCCGGAGCGGGTCATTTCCATTGTTGAGCACTTCACAATTCTCCTCTATGATTGCACCAGCAGTCTTGGGTTGTTCTCAAAGAAAGGAAGAGGAATGGAGCAAATCCCCCAACTAAGCATGCGAGGGTGCAGCACCTCAAAAGAGCAGTGTGCCAGGGAGGACACCGTTGGGGTCAAGCCTTTGAGGTGGCATCAACTATGCCATCTCCAACAGACTAGGATGGATGGACCCAAGTGACTGGAGACGATTGTGGTCAACTCTTCCACTCTGCCGGGGACACTGCAAATGCAAAAAAAAGCCTCTTTAACCCCTTAGCGGTCAAAGATCGGCGACGGTCCCAGATTATTGTTGTTTCACTTTAACAGCACGTTAAACATCACACTCTTACTTGATCTGGACAAACTGTGCATCAGTAGAAAGATTAAAGACTCTAGCTTCGATATTTGACCACTGTTTTGAAAAAACATTGTTGCAGTGACAGTAATTTAGTAATTTATGTCAGAAATTACATTTAAAGGGTTCGCGTAAAAAGGCCCATTCTTATAAATTGCCAATGGATGCATAATTACCCGAAGGGACCGTAGGGTGGATTTGGATACCGTTAGCCTGTTATTTAAAGAACAATTGGGAGGTTTCTGCTTACCCCAAATTCTGCATGCTCCGATTTGCTTCCCCCAGAACAGGGGGTTTTGGACACTTCCCCCCATCCATGGACCCTTTAAATGTCCATTTTCAATCATTTTTAGGGGTAAAACGGGGTAGTCGCTCCCAAAACCCTACTATTTGACCGTTCTCCCTTTGAGCGAATGGATGGGGCTCTTACCCCAGGGGCATGTATGTCCCACCAAAGTACTATTTGTACATCTCTCTACCGGGTACATGGGGGTCACTTGGGCTAGGGGCCCCGTCCCACGAACCCACTATTTGTCCATTTCACCGCTATTGTGCCGGAACGTCCCCTTGACCCCCGCTGAACGCTTGCCCCTGCCCCCAGGTCCCATGAACACGCTATTTGTCCACTTCTCCGCTATTGTGCCGGAACGACTCCTTGACCCCCCTGACTGATTGCCCCCTCCCCCCACGTCCCACGAACCCATTATTTGTCCATTTACACACTATATTCACGGAAAGCATCCCCATGTGGTCCTCAGGCAGGGGGCAGGCGCCCTCGACCTGCGGATGTTCACTGATGCCCTGCCTGGCTGTTTAAATGACGTCCGACGCAAAGCCTCTCCGATCGACCGGTGCTCTAAGCAGAGCACTTTGTCAAATTTGGGACCGCTAACACCTTTATAAAAAATTCCCACTCTCCATTTATTTGAATTGGTATGGCCTAGCGGTTTCGTGGACACGGCTCTGAAAGGGCCAATTGACTAGAGGGCGCCATTTGCGTATTTTCAGGGGTCCCATTAGCGGGCGGAAAAGTTTGGTGACCCTACGAACTCTCAGGACTCAAAAAGTCAAAAAAGAGACAGAACGTCCACGAAACAGTTACGCGCTTAAATGGGGAGAGGGACATCCCCTGTTCTGAGACCATAGGACATAGGGCCCCAAGATTTTACATTCTTGCTTCTCAGGGGCCTCTCGCTCACAGCCCCGAAGCTCAAAGCCATAGGACCTTCTGAAAAAAGCTCCTCTCCCAACTAAAAAATCACTCAAAAGGCTCTGAGTGAGTATAAGACAGAGAGGCCTGCAGCAGGGATTTTGTCCAACGGCCCAAAAAATTTACTTCCACTTTAGGACTGGGGGCCCTTAGTACAACCCTCGGTGGGGGGGCCCAGGAGCCACGGTGCAAAATTTGGGGCCCCTGAGACCTTTCTAAATAAATCCCACTTGCCACTTAATTGAATTGGTTTGGCCTAGCGGTTTCGTGGACACGGCTCCGAAAGAGCCGATCGACTAGAGGGCACCATTTGAGTATCGTCAGGGGTCCATTTAGTGGGCGGAAAAGTTTGGTGACCCTACGAACTCTCAGGACTCAAAAAGTCAAAAAAGAGACAGAACGTCCACGAAACAGTTACGCGCTTAAATGGGGAGAGGGACATCCCCTGTTCTGAGACCATAGGACATAGGGCCCCAAGATTTTACATTCTTGCTTCTCAGGGGCCTCTCGCTCACAGCCCCGAAGCTCAAAGCCATAGGACCTTCTGAAAAAAGCTCCTCTCCCGACCAAAAAATCACTCAAAAGGCTCTGAGTGAGTATAAGACAGAGAGGCCTGCAGCAGGGATTTTGTCCAAAGGCCCAAAAAAATTGACTTCCACTTTAGGACTGGGGGCCCTTAGTACAACCCTCGGTGGGGGGGCCCAGGAGCCACGGTGCAAAATTTGGGGCCCCTGAGACCTTTCTAAATAAATCCCACTTGCCACTTAATTGAATTGGTTTGGCCTAGCGGTTTCGTGGACACGGCTCCGAAAGAGCCGATCGACTAGAGGGCACCATTTGAGTATCGTCAGGGGTCCATTTAGTGGGCGGAAAAGTTTGGTGACCCTACGAACTCGTTGAGGGGTCAAAAGGTCAAAAAAGGGACCACGTGTCCACAAAATAGTTACGCATTTAAATGGAAAGCGAAACTCGGCACGCATCGCCGTCGTGGGCCCCCCGTTTGGGCTCCTGAGTTTGAGGGCCCTGTTGGCTTTCTAAGCCTTTTAAGTCCGACCGCGTGTCTCTCTGAAATCTGGCCTGTTTCTAGGCCTCTCCCATTGACTTCAATGGCAGACAGAGAAATAGATGTAAAATTAAGAAAAATACTTTTTGGGGTCCCAGGCCCAGGCCCCTTTGGCACATTGCTCCGGTGCTCCTGAGACAACTCAATGTGCGATTTGGGCCCCGTGGTACCTCCCTAAAAAAGTCCCGTTCTCAATTTATTTGAAAGGGCTTTCCATAGAGGGTTCGCGGACACGGCTCAGAAGGGTCCGATCGAGCCGAATTCGAAATCTTTGTCTCAAGGGGACCCCCTCGAGCGGGAGGAAAAGTTTGGTGGCCTAACAACTTTGCTTAGGGGTCAAAAGGTCCGAGAAGGGGTGAGCACATGCCTGTATTTTTCACTGAATATTTTTGCTGATTTTTTTAAAGGTCTTCCCAAACGCTGAGGACTTTGGCCCTTTTCCACGTCGTACATCAGGGCCACACGCTCAAGCATTCGATGCCCCAAGGCCCTGGCCCCAATATGAATGTTATTTTTAATCTAACATAAAGAAACATCTAACAACTTTGCTTAGGGGTCAAAAGGTCCGAGAAGGGGTGAGCACATGCCTGTATTTTTCACTGAATATTTTTGCTGATTTTTTTTAAAGGTCTTCCCAAACGCTGAGGACTTTGGCCCTTTTCCACGTCGTACATCAGGGCCACATGCTCAAGCATTCGATGCCCCAAGGCCCTGGCCCCAATATGAATGTTATTTTTAATCTAACATAAAGAAACATCCCATTTCCAATTTATTCAGTTGGCCCTATATAGTGGTTCCATGGACATTTTTTATGCATATTACACTATTTTATCACATGAAAGTTGCATGAATGGGTTTTTTGGAGTGTCCTGCTTCCAGTAGAGGTGTTCTCATAAACAATATCACTCATACTAATGAAAAATACACTTTATTCACATGTGTCCACGGACCCTGTTCAGAAGGCCCATTAAATAAGTTACTTGTAAATTGCAAATGGACACATATTCCACTTCCAATTTATTTAATAGCATAATCCCACTAATATATTATACTGATTCCACTGAATAAATTGCAAATGGGATGATTGTCGCAATTCAGACTTATTGCATGGGCTCCAGATAGTGTTTATTTGGACATTTTAAATCAAGGTCCATATGATGGTGGATAAGATTTTACTCTTAATTATATTTTTGGTTTTATGTGTTTGGAATCTGTTTGTGTGAAACTTTCTGTGCTGCCATTTTGGCCAGGACTCCCTGGTAGAAGATATTTATATTTCAATGGGATAATTCCTGGTAAAATAAAGGATACATAAGAAAATAAATAAATAAATACATTTTTCATCAGTTATGGCTCATTAGCCTGCTTTTAATTCAGACACAGATATGAAGTAGTGCGGTAAGATCACATTTTTTAATTTTTAATTAATTATATAATTTATTTGAATTAATTAGCAAGATAGAGAGTGAGAGAGCGAGATGAAAGTTGCGTGTGTGAATTACCTGCATCTGTGCCTCATTGCTGAGTAATATAATGTAGCGGGTCAGTATTGAAGCTATTTTTTATTAATAAAAATGTCTGTGCGCCATATTGTTTCTGTGTGTGCGCTGCGCGATCTCCGATCTTTGTGTGCAAGTAATGTGTGTGTGCGAGTGTCAATGAAAGCAGTGTAGCCTACTGCATATAGTTTACTTTAGCTACAAACACGAGCCTGACCCGAACCTGAAGCTATTCATTAAACATGAACCCGAACCCAACCTGAAACCCGAGAGTATTTCGGTACCCGTCAGGATCGGGTCGGAATAGTTAATAATAGCTCAAAATAGTTTCAGTTTCTAATTCATTCTGATGCCACAATCACTTCTAAGCAGGCGAATGGCTTCTGTTTCTTTCCCAAAGGTCTATTCTGGGAGTTTGGTGAGCGGGTACCCAAACTGTTATATATATAAATTATTATTATTATCAATAATAATTATTATTAATAATAATAATAATAATAAAGGATTTTCTGTCATAATTTACTCACCATTAAGTTGTTCTAAACAACAGTCTGATGACACAATTTTCATTTTGGGGTGGACTATCCCTTTGATGTCAAACATGTAAATTAAATACACTTAAATAAAGATTTTCCATTAATTTGAGCAGCTCATTTAAAACAGCGAAGGCAAATAAATAAAAATAAAGAACTATAATTTATATATAAAGTAAATAAAGAATAATTAAGTAAATACATAGAATAAAAAACATATTAAATAGTTCTTATATCACAAAATGTAAAATTATTCAAAGAGGCCTGTATTTGGGGTAAACGTTTACAGAATGTAGAAATGACCTCTGATAATATTTTCATTAATATTTATGTATTTTTAAGTGTCATTAATGCAAAGAGGTGAAGCCAGTAATTAAATGTATTGAGATTTTGCACCATCTATGATCACAAGAAAAAAAAAAAAGGTGTGTGTGTCTTCTTGCCCCGGAGTGCATTAGTATCAAAATTTAAGGTTGGTAATGTGTAAATTTGACATATAACTGGTCATCTTGTTTTATTGACACTATTTTAATTACCTTTCAGCTTTTTGACAGTTTTCTTAAATTGTCATGTGCATGAAGTGTAAATATTCCATGAATCTCTCAATCACTATGAGCTCATAAAAATCTGTGTATGATAACTTTGAACACGTCATAAAAATTATTTGTTTGAAATGTTTCTAGATTAATTACTGCATGCCATACTGCCATACTTTGCTTGACATTTCATGTTAACTCCCACATAAACTTTTTTTTTTACATTTTAAACTTTTTTTTTTTACATTTTAAACATTCATGATGATAAACCTACCCACTGGACCTAGTGTTTGTATACAGTAGGTCTATTATATGTTATGTCCTGTGGTCACAGATTTTTTTTTTTGTATATATATTTATGAATATGTATGAATATATGTTTATGCTTTTGTGAACTGGTCTGGTAAGAAATAAATTACTCAGGTACTTCACTAATCTCACATTTGATTTGTAGATATGGGAGCAAATAGACTCAAAAATAAGAGATTGTTTAAATGACAGGTTTCTTATTATGTTACAAAAAATGCAAATATCAGCTAATTGAGTCTCAAGGAAGCCTACAGCACTGTGACATCCATCAGGGATTTTCACTTTTCTTTTTTTTGTCTTTTTATTTAAATTTTTTCTATCAAACGGGTTTAGACTGAAGCATCCCTTAAAGCAGGTAGTTATTGGGTGATCTGAGGAGGTTCACTGCACCACCTATACCGGTAAGTGAGGATCGGCTCATTCACTATGAGGGGAGTGGGTGCTCATGAATGAGGGTTTGCTCAGGGATGAAACGATGTAAGTCGACACACTTTGTTTGCTTTAATTCACTCAGTTACTTTTGGTGATACTGTATTGCTGCTTAACAGCTTTCCTGCTATTCAAACCAGTAACACTCCACGTTAAATAGCCAAAACACACAGAATGTAACGCTCCCGTTAGACACCAACAACAAACTGGAACGCATCAATTACAATTGCATTTCAATTAACCTACATTTAGCGAGTCATTCAGAATCAGTTTAGGGGCTGTTCACAGAGAACGCGTTGTTGCATCCAAAACCAGATGTAGCACGGCAGAATGGACCAGAATGCATGGCTCTCCAGAAAAGCTTAAACTTATTTTAATTTGACAAGGCGTCTTGAACCGAGTAAATGCATTGCAATGAGAACAGAACACTGCCCTTAACGTTGATGTATTGCATCATTCACATCTCTGAAGAGTCTTCAGTTTTATCAGATTTATCAGAAAGATACAGCTTTACGATTCTCTCCAAAAACAGCCGAGCTCCTGGAGGCAAGCTGTGGGCGGAGCTGAAGAGTCACGAGGACATATGGGGTGATTGGCAACAAACACAGACATTGATGCAGTTTTACAGCAGTTCCTAATCATGACCGGGATCTTTTATCGTTGGGACTGCTCCGTCTTTCAGTATCAAACGATGTGCATATCCAGTGTCAGAATGTACATTGTTATAAACATTTGTCACCGAACTGACGGGAACAAACAAACGCGCTTGAGAAACTCCGTTGCTGCCCTGGAAAAACAAATTGCATCCACTGTTCACATACACTGAATAAGGTTATCTTTTCCTCACATCCAAAACACACATCTTCAGAGACATTAGGCTTGTTTGACTTCATGCGGTGCCGCAAAGATCAGCTGCCGCCTGTCAAAAGCAATGCATTCTGGTTATAAAATTTGATCGGTGCTACAGCCACCTTACGATCACATGTGCCATCAATGTACTGCGAGAGCAAAACAATACCAGCCGCCTAGGTCAGGCACTGCGAAAGCCTTGATATGACACTTTATTCTCTTGGTTAGATTCTGTGATAAGCACAATGTGTGTTGCGTGCTTATTCTAACAATTAAATTCCTATAATGCTCACAACTCTCTGTTTTTATAACAGTAAAACCATATTTTTTGTGTAGTCGCACTGTTATATGAGTCACGATTAAAATAAAAAACACTGATAAAAGCATATACCCCCACTTTATTGGTAATGCTATTTAAATAGCATATGTTAATGTTGAACTTATTCATGAACAGATGGCGCTGTATTAAGCAGTATATAAAAGGGTTTCTGTTGCTTTATGAAAACGTTTCTGAAACATCTGTGTATTTGACAAATATTGCATATAATTCACTTAATCTGTGATAGAGTATGCAAACACTGCCAGAGCGTCATTACCAGGAGAAGAAGTGTCCGATTTGATGTCTCTTTTTTTTTTTTTCACCCCGACTGCAAGCGGCTACTCTCTCCAGCCGGAGGCAGCTAGTGTAGTTCCTCTCTAAAAACCTAGTCTTCTCGAGCAAGTAACTGCAGCGCTGCCGATGACTT